CAGCCCCCCATGAGCCTCCCCACTCCCAGAACCCATTACACTAATCATTGTCTCTATATATCGGCCCTTCCTATGCTTCATCGCCTGGAAAACTTACAGCATCAACAGACCACCAAAAAAGCAAAACACCAAATATTTCTTAAAGTAATTTCTTTACTTCACACAAAGTAATAAGAATATACTTTCTTATCCTTATAAGTAATTTCATTCTTAATCTCTTACATTCATTGTTTCACAGATGCTTAAAAATGTTCTTTTATTCAATGTGGTTGACACAGTGGATGTGTGATAAGAGCTGTATGAGCCACCAATAAAATGATTTTTAAAAAGAGAAAGAAAAGACCAACAACAATATTAAAATAAACCAGAGAAAAACACAGGGAATATTGAAAATTAGAACAAATACAAAATGGGTTAGGAGGGAGATTAAATGACCAGGACTACATTATAATCTATTTCCATCGGTCATAATTAAGTTTATAATAATCTCTGATACAAGGTTATTTATGTCCCTCGACTAGTCAGAAGGGATTCACAGAGGCTTAATCTATATAGGGACCCTGCAGATCAATTTAGGCTCCCACTGTCATCCATACCCATCTGCAAATTGAGTGTTCACAATTTAAGCTCTGACACCTTTCCCTCCTTCGGATTTGAATTTTGTTATTTGTCATCCCTGATCATCCAGGCTGGTCTGCTTCTTCCTTGTGGACTTAGTTAGCATCTCACTTAGATGGCTGCTTGTTTGACTACAAGCCATTATTAAACTACCAGACTCTGTTATTTTTGGTAGCCAGGCACTATCTGCTTTCTTCACCACACTTTGCTGTAGCACCCATATCTAAAATTGTCTCTTCATGAGGGCAAGCATTGAGCCAGGGCCATGTCATACGGACTATTTGTTCTTGGATTGGGGCTAGAATTAAGTGGAACTCCAGAATCCATTCACTTGCCTTTGAATTATGTTTGGTTTACTTTAGAGGCCTCATTATTTTATGACCAACATCATCTTTCATCTCCCCTGGAGTATAAGGTAGTTCTATTGATAGTGTCATTAATTTACCCAATGACATCGAATTTAATATATTGTTGAGAAAAGGAAGTTACACAAGTGTAGACCAGCTTTGAACCAAAATGCATGAGTTGTTGATTTGTATAGATTGAACTCTAATGGTTAAGGTCTGTTTACATTAGCCGTTGGGGTTGGTGATAGGGGAAAATTTCCAGTAACATTCATTCACAAGGGCAGAACCTTACCTATCAGATTAAGATATGTCATCCTAAAGCAAGAAGGGCATTAAAATTGTTAATATATGGTGTTTCGGAGCCACCTTCTTTGGATACCCACAAAGCAAGGGATCCTAACCAAGGTACTAGATAGTTTTTAATGTTGTCAATATCCTTGATAGGACAACGGAAGTGTGGAAAATGAAATGAAAGATCTGGGCAGTCCCATTACTACAGTCCCACAATTGGATAATAATCTAGAACTAGAAGACCAAGCAGAGGATATTTCAGATGACACGATGGAGTTTTCCCTGGAAGATCTAGAAGATGCAAAGGTAGAGTGACCTCTTTTTTTCCCCTCTTTTTAAATCATTTTATTGGGGGCTCACACAACTCTTACCACAATCCATCCATCCATTGTGTCAAGCACATTTGTTGCCATAATCATTGTCAAAACATTTTCTTTCTACTTGAGCCCTCGGTATCAGCTCCTCATTTTTTTCTCCTCGCCCCTCCACCTTCCTTCCCTCACGAACCCTTGATAATTTAAAAAATATTATTATTCTTTCATGTCTTATACTGTCCAATGTCTCCCTTCATCCACTTTTCTGTTGTCCAGCCCCCAGGGAGAGGGTTATATGTAGATC